ATATTAATAATTACACAAATATCTAAATGGCTCATTTGAATGTACTGCTAGCACCACTGTGGTAGAGGCATTATTGAAAACACTCAAGATAGGTGTGATAGATGTCAAGTTTGTTTTTGCCCGCTCCATCTCCTAAAGCTCAAAGACGTAGTTGAGTATCTTAAAAATAAAACAATAACACAATTCATTGAGCTTAACTCTAGTCTGCAGAAGTGCAAGCACTGTGGTTGTCTGTAACACCTTTTGGATGTAGAAAATCAGAAGTTTCACACTTTTAGCGTGAGTTGGATGGTAGCCAAAGTCTTACTCAGTGTTCAGATCAACAACAACTCTTCATTTTAAAACGTACAAGCGGCCGTGTTAGTTGCATCATGTTCTTTTAATGCACTGGTGAAACAATGTAATACAATCTTTAAATGCCAGATTGATTAGCTGAGGCATATGTTTGAAGGTTAGATGCCAAACCTCCGCACAGCAGTTTATAGCACCATGAGGAGGACTTACAGCCTTGTAAAGTTCACATAAACAATTCATTTATCTTTTCTCCCAGTTATTGTGAGGTAAACAATAGGAATATGCCTCTGCCTTTCAGAATGATGTGCATTTGTGTACTTGATGGGCCAACACAGTGCCTCCTCATTGAAATGAGTATAAACATGGTTTGTTCTTGTTCTAAAGTCTCTTCCTGTGCACTTCTCTCTCTGTTGTTCTTATGTTCTTGGCTGGCCTCCTTCCCTCCTGGTCCTCATGTTCTCATTCACGTTTTCTTTTTCTCTCTTCTAGCAACTTTCTCAGTTTTCCTTTTAACAATGTCCCTCGTTGTTGAGCAGAAGGTTGTTAAGCATGGTATCTGGGATTAAGACACAGACAAATGGAAAGAAACACAGACGGAGCAATTCTAGACGGTTCGCTCACTGACTAAACTGTCACTCCTGAGCCCTTTTGGGGTCAGTTTTCGTGACAGACAAGGCTTTGGTTTAGGAACAGTGAGTTCTCTAATCTCCGAGTGTCAATTTCCTCATCTGTCTGTCTCTCTGTCTGATAATACTCAAGTGTGTCGCGCCTGGCAGGGGTGGCCCTGTCACTCCAGGCACTGGTATTGTGCTGCTGAGGCCCTCAACCTGTTGAGAGCAACAATCATTATTCAGTATTCAACAATATGCAGGAGTTAAGGTTTTTATATTATCTTCATTTGCAGGGAACAAAGCTGTATGGCTTGTGGTACCTTTTTTGGTTTCAGTGCCCAGGGCTCTGACCCAATACAAGAATTTCGGCTGCGATCGTGGGATTTTCTCTAGCTTTTAAAGAGGCTTACAGACTAGCAGTGCCAGCTGAGTTGGTTTTGGAAAGAATAGAGGTTAAAGAATGCCTTTAATTTAGCAATCATTATAAGCAAGGCATAAGACTTCTGAAACCCCCATTTAATAAGCTTAGGCAAAGGGAAAACCTGAAAATGAAGTTCAGCTCATCAGCCACCAACAAAAGTGTTGGTGTTGAATAGCCTCTATACATTTTTGATTCAGATTTTTTGAGCTGATAAGTCTGATAAGTAAGAAGTAACCCTGGTTTTGTACTGATAAAAACAAAAAAGTAGATGTCAGAAGATATTTTGCGTTTATAATTTTGCAGAAAATAGAAGCCAGTCCCTAAATAGGCATGAAAGAAGGATTCATTTCAGAGTTTGAAAAGTATACATCTGAATTGAAATGAATCTAATATGTAGCTCTTTAAAATAGCTGGTGGTAAGTGTGTGATAGCCCCTGTATGACCTTCCTTTTGAAGAACATTTGGCAAAGAATCCCATATTGTGCTTAGCTGCTTAAAAAGCAACACTTTATTACTAAAAAGTGTAATATGAGAAGTGTGGATCAGCACTGTCCCACACAACCTGGTAAAAACATTTAGTACACTTAGAAGGTTAATGACATGGATTTGGGTATTATATTGACCAGAAAGTTTCAGAGCTCATTTTATTATTAGTGCTTAGTCACTCCATCTGTCCTAACTGAGGGCTGTTTTCTGTTTTTATTGCATTTCATTATTTTTCAATGTTTGAATCATTGCACAGACTGCGGTTTCCAGGGATTACAGCCTTCATGTCGTGACAAAGGGTTGTATTTCTTTCTTTTTTTTTTTAAAGTTATTTTTTGGGGCGTTTTTTGCCTTTATTTGATAGAGCAGTAGACAGAGACAGGAAAGTGGGGGAAAAGAATGGGGGAAGGACCTGTGGAAAAGGGCCTTTAGCGGGACTCGAACTCATGACCTCCGCATTGGGGACTGTAGCCCCGTACATGGGACACCAGGTCAACCAGGTGAGCTATAGCGGCGCCCCGAAAGGGGTTGTACTTCTGTGCGGTTGTTGCCAAAACCCTTAAAAGCTTGCAAAATTTTTACTTTTACTATGTGATCCAGCTGAACATTGTATAATGAGCTTTGGACACTGTTATGATTCAGTGATCAAACTCTTTCTGTAAAGATTGGTACTTCTATAAGATTTGAAAGAATAGAGCAAATATTTTTTCTTTAGAAGTAGTAAGTAGGCTTTGACGAGAGAGACAAAGACTCGAGCAGGACACTTGTCTGATATTTATGTTTCTTAACTCGGTGTTTTCCTGTCATGGCAGTTTCTGTTCCTGCTCATCTGTACTCCTGTGTCCCTCTTGACATAGAGGTGGAACAGACTAAGTAGGTCGGATGTCTTGTGTAACATGCAGCAAAAGGATGAATGAAACGAAAGAAGGGACACAAGAGGGTAGAGGAAAAACAAGGAGTGACAGGGCAAGTTGTATTCCTGCAGAAAAGCAAGAATAAGAGAGTTGTTGTGCACAGCACAAAACATGTCCAGAGCCAGCGAGCTGCATGTGTGCGTTATTGTTAATATCCAGCACAATACTGCAAGATTTTTGTGACAAAGAAAGACAACTCAGATTTATTTACCAGGTAAAAATGTTTGAGAGCGAGTTCTCATTTGGTGTGTGATGTATATCTGTATTGTTAAATTTTGGTCAAAGGGCTTCTCAGACTGATTTTTTTTAATGACAGCAATAATTCTGGACAACCATTTGTTAATAAAAGTGCTTGAATTTGCACAAACTGTTGTGTTCTGAACAACAACTGAACATTTCAGTGTTTTTGGACAACTGAGAATACAAATTTCTCGTTAAAGAAAAAGTCTAAAATTGTTATTTTTAACTTTTGATTTTTTTTAAGAACTTAAGTCAGTTGTGATATTGATATTTTACCACGTGGCCAATAGGGACAGCCTGAAAGGACAATTTCTTCATGCGTAGTTGGGCGCACACACTGACACACACCTGCTGGATGTGATCTTGTTATGAAATCTAACTTGCACACAAATGATGTGCACGTACTGATAAGCTGTTGTTGTCTCACTGGTCTACCCAGGCAAGCAAAGTGTACATAAAAGTGTACAGCAAAACATGTGTGCACATGAAATAACACTCTAAAGTGACAGCTATTGGAAGGAAACACCTAGCAGATCAAATGTGACAGTTTGTACACATGGGTGTGCACACAGACATGCACAGACCTGTAAAACATAATGGCACAGCACTCTTGCCTAGTGGGTGTCTCTTTAATTATTCTATTCAGTCCTTCAGCAGACTCTTGGACAACTTGACATCTCAAGCTTGGAAGGTGAGATCAGAGAGGAAGGAGAAGAGAAAATTAGAGAGGGGAGTGAAGAGGGACAAGTAAGACTTAGCAGTGTAACAGATCGTAGTTGATTCGTGATCCGTATGGATCCCCGTCCATGGTTCGGCACACATGTCAGCCATAGCTTAATTTCAGAGTTTCACCTTCATAGATTGAAGTACACTTTAACTGGCACTGTTACTTTTTAAAGTAACTAGATGGACACTTGGAATGTGAACCCTCCGCAAAGGCAAATGCCACATCTCACAATTTTAAGCAAGTGATCCGCATTTGGACATGGTAGTTGTTACATAACACCTTCACCTCGATGAGGAATAATTCCCTGAATCTCAATACAGAGTGTGGTAAGATCAGAACAATTGTGTTTGGTTATACTAATGTTGACAAAATGTTCACAAGTTCAGTGCAGTTGACAGTGACAGTTATGTTTAGTTAGTTAGTACAGTTACCTGTCTCTTTTTGTCTTTTTTGCTAATCCAAAAAATTGTCCAAACCGTGACTCAGAAGCCACGATATGATCTGAACTGTAAGTTTTCTAATCTGTTGCACCCCTAGAAAGGGAATTACCAAAAACCAAAACACTAGAAATTTGCTTGCTCAGAAATAGTAGATGAGAAGACAGTAGAGTCTTGTTTTGTGAAAGCAACTGGCTTTAGCTTTCCCCAGCCGTTGATTGAGACACTGACATGATAAGATGTAGAGGTTTTTCAAACACATTTGTTATGCTGTAGTCCAAGATGGAAGGACGTTTGTGCATAGCTGTTGCATGGAAAAAGTGGGCATAAAGGAGTGCCCAGATGGAGTGAAAGTAATTGTCTGCCATACCAACAACATGCTGCAACACTTGTTGACAGATACATTTTGTATTAATGTCAGTTTCAGTATTTTTATCTTGTTGCTAGTTTTGTATTACTGCTCAGTGCAAAGCTATTCTGTGTCATGTCCAGCGCTGCTCATAACAGCCAAAAGTTGTTGAAGGTGATGTTTATTGCTTACTATTGTATGTCTTGTTCTTCCTTAAATTAAATTGAAATTATTATTTTTTTTTGTAGAAAAACTTTTTCAGATCGAATGTGCATTTCATAATGTGTGCCATAATAATACTTCTCCCAGCAAACATGGTGCCACTTGAAACACTGTCACCTTGTTTTACAATAGAAAGCAGCAAATCATATGTTCATTGACATACTAGGAATTGTTACTTAAAACATTCCATCTTTTTTATCTCTCCTGACTTCTGCCTCCACCCTCTCCCTCTCTTTCTGCCATTATCTCCTTTTCTTTGTTCCTCCCTCCTCTTTTCTTGCCTCTCTGTCTGTCCTCAGTGTAGCTAGAAGGAATCCTGCAAGAGGGATTAGCGGTCCGTCAATGAGGAACTACCGGCTCATCTTCTGCCACAACCTGAAGCAGCCATAGATGGTTCAGTGGTTCACTGGCTAGGGGAGGAGAGGATAGGACACACTTTCACTGCTACACGGTAAGTACACACACACACACACACAACACATGGAGCAACAAACATGACTGAGGGAAGAAATGGGCCCACTTTACTCTTAGGCTGTTGTAGTACATAAAACACAAATACACAACAACAAATATACTGTACATTTCCCCCCAACTACAATAGTTGTGCACAATGCATTAATTACTTTTTAAAATCTATCATACCTTTACAAATGACAGCACAAGATCTTTCACTAAGAGAATAACTTTGGTCAAAGTTTCAAGAGTACCTCAAGGAAATACAAGGTGAAGTGCTATTTCCTCTCTTCACTTTCCGTCATGTCTTCTTACTTACGCTTTCCAATGAAACACAGTGTACAGTTCAATTCCAGCCGATAAAATGAGTGTCTCTGTTATGCAACCTGTATAGAAATACTTGTGCAAACATATGGCATAAACTGTATCAATTCACATAAATATTTTAGATATTTAACAGCAGCTTATACTCAACAGCTACCTAGTTAGCTGCCAGTTAGCTGTTTGAAGTTGACAGAATGCATCAACTAGATTGTGTAGCTCGAGAAGGATTCACCACATTGTTGACCTTCCCACCAAACAACTGGTTTTAAACTGGTTGTCAGAGACCGACTGAACAGTTGACCACTGCAAACTAGAAAAACTTCTTTCTTATCAGAAGTCTCTATTCTGACAACCCCCATGTTACTGTGTGTCTGTTTTTGTGTAATACCCACATGTGTTCACTGCACTTTGTAAACTTTGTTATGTAATTTGGAATTCCACAGCTGATAAGGAATGTGTTATTTTGATCTACTGTAACTTTCAAAAAGTATGTTGTGACTTTGACACTGAAGCTAGTATTAAGAAATTAAGTGTACATACTATGCATATTGTTGTTGGAGTTTATGATAAAAGCAGCACACATTTGAACGATCAGTATCATTCGATGCACGCTGGCTGAGATTACATTTCTGATCAACATTTGGTGATGTTCCTCCTCCTCTGATGAGTGGACTGGACACCATCTGCCACTGTTTGCATTCAGATTAGTCACCAACCGACCATCATCAAAGTTAGACTTTGAAAAGAAATCATTGCCTCTGATTCTTGCTTTTATTTGCTTATCTTGCATTGATTTTCATTCCATTGTTGCTGTCCTTCCCTCTGCAAAGGGACTGGAGCGATAATGACAGTTGGCATAGCAAACGATGAAGTGATAGGAAATTCACTTTGCCTTAATGACCTTTCATGTTTAGGAAATGTAGAACATTTCTCATGGGAACAAATAGTTGATACTGTATTTCTGTTTGCAGTCTGAGTCATAGTGTACCACATCAGCCATACTTTCATTTCACATGCACACACATGCAAATCCTTTAAATAGATAGATAGATAGATAGATAGATAGATAGATAGATAGATAGATAGATAGATAGATAGATAGATAGATAGATAGATAGATAGATAGATAAAACTTTATTGATCCCTTTGGTGAAACCTCAGGGAAATTGTTGAATACATATGTCAGTAGTCACTGTGGCTTGTTTAATATACAAGGTGTATCAGAAAAGTTTCAGGACTGGTGTCACAAAGAATATATTTCAAATCCAAACTACAAACTACAAGTTTTCCCCTTCAAAGTAATCCCCCTGGAGTCTAACACACTTTGCCAGCCTTCTCTGCCACGCCACCATGTACTCCTGAAGGAGTCTTCCTCCTCAGCTCCGTCGTCACAGCCATCTTGATGTCGTCCACATCTTCAAAATGGGTCCCAGGTGGGGTGAGTAAGGAGGTTGCTCCAGCACAGCGATGTTCTTCTCAGCCAGGAACTGTCGGATGCTCAGGGCGTTGTGAGCAGGTGCATTGTCATGGTGAAGCAGCCACGACTTGTCCTGCCCCAGCTCTCACCTCTTTTCGCGCACTGAACGAAGCAAACGTCACAGGCTGTCTTTATAGACGTGCTGGTTGGTCGTCTGAAAGGGAAAACTCGTACTTTGTAGTTTGGGTTTGAAATATATCTTTTGTGTCACCAGTCCTGGAACTTTTCTGACGCACGTAGATATATGTTAAAAAAAATAAATAAATCGTCCACTTTTTGGTCCAGATTCACAGTTTTAGAACCACAGATTGACCATATTTGTAGGTGAAAGGCGCAGGCCAATAGACTTACGTGACTGTAGACTATATGTGAAATTGCATGTGTCTGCACAGTGTACTTTAACATATACTCAGAAGCCATTTTACTGTGTACACTTATCTAAAACTGGCCTGGTGTAGCACAATAATCTTATAACAAATCCAACCTTTTTCAATGATTGTAAGAATCAGTATCTCGTTAAACTGTCTGAGAAAGGTGTTGCTTCATTTTTATTCTGGAGTTATGTTGGAGGCTGCTGTTTGATTACAATCAGAAGGGCTGTATTTCTAATATTTAGTCTACCCTCAAAAACGTAAACAGGGTGACCCAAACAAAACACTTCAGCATAACACAATTAGCACTGCAACAGTTGGTCAATAGACAGAAGATTACACTGTAGGTGTTTTGATTATATGTTAACTGTTTTTGTCATTTATCATGAAAAAAACTTAAAATGTTTGGAGGTTAAAGCATCTTAAATTTGATTATTTGACGTCATATCTGTATGCAAACTGAAGATTTGTGGGTTTTACATCATTCAGTCAATACCTCTTTAATGGTATTTAAACCAAAACTCAGAAGTTTTACAAAGGCATAGTTGAAATTGAGACTGGGTTAAGTTTACATAGTTGTATCTAGTAATTTCTCTTGCACTACGCCTTCTCCTGCATCCCCACCTGTTCTTTTTTCTCCTGAAGGAACCCGGTGTAAATATCTTTTCAGGTCACTAGCCTATTGTCATTTCTCCCTCTCCTCTCCCACTCACTGGCATATAGCAGTGAGTAAAGCCACCCTCTCCAATGTGTTTGAGGTATATGTGCTGATTTTGTTTGTCTTTGAGCAGAGGAAGTAAAGACTCTGCCAGTGTCTCTTAGTCACTCTTCTTGTTGTCTCCTTGTGTCTCCCTCAGTCCTCATGATTGTGTTTTCTCCACTCACTTGTTTACAGTGCATGACTACAGATGAAAATGAATTTTCGTGCGGAGCTGCATTCTTCACCAAAGCTGTATTTCTCTTTTTTTTGTTTGTCTAATCTCCCTCCATTTTCCTTTTTCTTTTGGAAGACGTGAGGTCTTGGCGGGGTTGTGGTGAGGAGGAGGAGGAGGAGGCCATGAGGAAGAGCGTGTCTCCGTTGCCAGGCAACGAGGGCGGGAGCTCACCCAGCACCACGCGGGTTTTTGGCGTTCCTTTGGAGGAGGTGACACGCACACACACAATCAGCGGCCACGAGGTTCCTGCACTGGTGAAACACATTGTCGACTACATTGAGGAGCATGGTGAGTGATGGAGCCACTCCATAGTGCTTTTTTTTAAAGCATTCAATAAAATTTAGCAGAGTTTATTCCAATTTGTGCAAGTATTTTAAAACAAAACTTTGTTTAAAATGTTTGTTTTTTTTCGATGCACAAGTATGTGTCAGATCTATATGATATTTGTATGACTCATACACAGTCCCACGTGTTTATCTGTAGTGATGCATTTGTTAGTAAGAATTTGGCTAAATGTGTTCAAAATTATTATCTTCTGTAATCAACAGGAAAATAACGTGACCGAGTATACGCCATAATACTGAAGGAATCACCATTTTTATTTGACTAACGTTCACATCTATGCTTTAACAAGGCGTTTTTTATTAAATTGCCTTCTTACCAGGGAAACAATCAAAGTGGCTGCGCTCTGAATAAAGTATCTCATACGTTAAGTGTATAAAATAGGAGCACAAGCAGTTATACTACAAGAATTACTGGAATCTACATACTCTCAATCTCTCTCTAAATCTTTCGTGATTCAATTTTACATTGCCTTCAGCCTGCAGAGATCTCTCTTTTGATGTGACTAGAGCAGATCTTTCACCTCTTCAGATTTCCTGTTCTTTTTAAATGTCTCACACAGTTGTTAAAAGTGTGCATTCCCCTGTAGTTCTCAACAGTTCAACTGTTTCTTTGGAGTTTGTTTGTATAGTTTATCCAGCTTGAACACTACTAAAAAGAATAATTCATTTACTGTTTAAGTGAAAAGTTGAATTTCTACCAGGGTATAACCATTGTGAAATGTTTTCTAATGTGAGCTGACTTAAACTAAACATTGCTGAGTAACTGATGTCAACAAATATTCATTTTATTCTTGTGTAGCAGGAGCTTTATGCAGTAGTTTGCACCTTCAAACATGCAGAACTGTAGTGACATGTAATGGAGCTTCCAAAGTACGTACTGAGGCAAGTTCAGTTACATCTGATGGCTGTTTGTCATGTTTTCAGTTTCCAAGCACACTCTGCTGCTTTTAAGCTTCAGTGACTGCTCTTCATCACACTAAAACCAAAATATGTTGTCAGTTGAGATCCACTTTATGATAAACTCGAAAAACCCCAGCAGACAACTCCACGGTCAGCTTCCTTCTTTATTACATAACTGTTCTGTCAACCGCAAATCCACTCGTGAAAACAGAACAGACAGCAAGGAGAGCTACCTACCAAAGTGCTGACCCTAGGCCTTTCCCATATCCTTCCTCGGAACAATTTTTTTTTCAAGCTTCACAGACCAGGAACTTCAGTCTTCTGTCATGTCTTTAAAAAGAGCTGGTTGACAGTTGAGACATCTTGCTCTGAAAGATAGGAGGGATGAAAAAAATTGCGATTTGGCTTCTTTCACCTGCTGTATTTAAGTTTTTTTTTGTTGTTGTTGTTTTTTTTGTAAAGTCTTAACCATCAAAATAACTTGTCTTTGGCTTCTAATGATATCTCTGGCTTGTGTGAAATAGAATTGGATTATAGATGAAATTACATAACATGTAAAGACTATTGTACCTGTTGTCTCATGTGAGAAGAAATTACATGGCAGCAAAAACGTCACTCACAAAATGAAGAAAATGTTGAAAAATCAACAGATGATTTGCCATTATAAAGAAAAAGAGAACTCTCTTGAAGATTGATATGGAATTAATGTTCAGATATAAAGCTTCCAAGGCAGGTCAACAGCACCCTGGACACTGGGCACATGTCCATATTCAAGAAAATAAGCGTTAGATAGGAGTTTTAAGTGGGGCTGGAGTCCTAAAACTTAATCAGTACTTCAAGAAAGAATGTCAAACACATATCTGCAGTGACAAGTTAAACAATAGAAAAAGCTTCCTTTTGTAATTTCCTTTTTCAGTCTGCTATTGTGCAGTCAGCACTGTCAGACACAAAACAGACAAAAGACACTTTATTTTAAAATCTGTCAAGTCAGTGGACATTTTTTGTAAACTACTGAAGTGAATTGTCACCTCAGATCCCCTCAAGTGACGAGTGAAGCGGGTTGGGGGTTAGTGTGACCTGGGCACTGTCCGACCATATGAGGTTATGTAATAAGTCTAATCCTCCTGGGTCTCTGTTGGTGCATTAATTAGAGCGGTGCTGGCTGTCAGGAAGTTATTCAGCCACCGAAAAGGCTTTAATCTCTCCTAGCTTGTGTGTGATGCCTGATGATTTTGTAGAAGCAAGGTGTAGGTCATGTAAAGGAAGATGTAATTTTGATGTAATACAGAGATCAAAACGAAACATTTAAAGGCGTGTCAGGCCGAAGCTTTTTCAGGAACCGGCTGCCTTGTAGGTTTATTTGTGCATTGGGTTGGGCTGTGGAATGTCTGAATACAATCATGATGATTCAGCAAAATCAGAGACATCAGAGAGAGGCTGTTTTTGTGATTGTGACCGTTTAAGTTTACTCACAATTGTAACTGTGTTGTCGCTCAGTGTTACTGTGCTGCTCTGCATGTAGGCTATTTTGTGGAGCTGTAAAGGGAGAATAAATCCCACAAGACTCCAGTTAAGCAGTTGGACTGTGTTATGTGACTTATTAATGGATGAGAAACCAGGGAATGAACAGGAGTCAGGAGGCATCATCAGGCAGTCGTTTCATAACCTGCGAGTCACAACTTTACCATCTAAACATCTTTAAGCATTAAATTACCTGTTGTATTTAAATCTGCTCCTCTGCCAAAGTGCTTACTTGCAATGTGGCAGGATTATCAGCAAGTGACAGGCTTGGGTGGTAATGAGGAAATATCAATAGTCCCCACTTAAAGCACGAGTGTGCGTAAAACATTGTGCTGGTTGGTGTATTGAGAAGCTGATTTTCTGGTCGTTCTTGTGCACTTCTGAAGCTGACAATCCAATGAGCATGACACTAAGGGATGGGTGCTGAGCCCCGGGTCAAAATAGTTTATTGCCAGATTAATAAGCTCTGCGAACGTCATGTTGCACATCCTGTCTCACCACTATAAGACTTCTATCAGGCATTTTCCCTTTCCGAAATCCGAAAGAGAGTTCTCGCTGTGGGAATCTGATTGTGAAGGGGCGGAGCAGCACTCTGTTAGACACCTGCAGCTCCTGAGAGACCTTGCTCTTAGTGATGATGGAGAGAAATAAATGTTCAGAAGTGCAATTACACTTCACTAACGTTGATGACACAAGTGTAACATCTCATTTGCATGTCGGGGCGGAAGCACAAGCAGCCTGTGAAAACATCCAGACAAAGTTACATCCAGACAGACAAAAACAGAAGTGGAGAAATGCACAGTTTGACTGCGTAGGTTGTAAATCATCCTTCTCTAACCCAGAAATGTTATGTAGCTGGTGCTAGCAACCCACACACAGAGTTAACTGATTTATACGGACATAGGTTAATGAATAAAAGTAATCATTAGCCAGCTGATTGTTCAGCTGTGGCTGCGTTCACAGATTCAGCCTGAAAGGGTCGGAGCATCATCTGAACGTTTGCTCAGAAATACAGTTTCAGTTTTGAGCTCCCAGAGCAGCAGGGGAAATTTAGTGATTTGAAGACTTCATACAAACACTTCAATGCTTTATTTGAACCCTTTCTCTTCCTAAATGTTAATGTTAGTGATAAAAGAAGTACTTCAACTTTTCTCTTAACTAAAACTAGCAATGTCACACAGTAAAAAATACTGTCAAAGTAAAAGTCCTGTATTTATTTTTGTACTTAAAAGTAAAGAGTGGAGATGATTTCCTTATTATCTGTTAAAGGTGAAACTTAATTCTTAATTCTTATATAATGCTGGACAGTTTAATGAAACACAACGCCTCAGTGTTCGGATCATTCCTATAAACACTCCCATCACCTTAACATTAGTGTCTATAAAGTGATTTATTCATAAGATTGCTTTCTGTTGCTGTAAATAACTAATGTTTGCATTTTACGTTTCATTTTTTTGTAGTATATATTAGAAATTTATTCAAAACAATCCTATTAGAGCGTGCAAAGTTTATTTACAGTACGTATGAGAAAATAAAACCATCTTCATTTTTATGAGTTTTTTTCTGTTAATTACAAAACAAAATCAAAAAGTACCATTAAAGTACTGGATCGATAAGCAGTACAGGCAAGAATACTTGTACCATTACGATCTTAATGATAGCCATCCCTAATGGCACCTCCGTGTTGTGACTGGAAGGGTCCAGAGATGAGAAAGTATGCAAACAATTATCGTCTCTCTTGAACTTTCAATTTCATTTCTTCTGTCACTTTTTTTCTCTCGTGCAACACAATGAAGTCCTTTTAGGAAACACAATTCCCAAGGTTGTCTTCGTTATGTCAGCTCTGTTTTTTGAGTTTTTGCCCAGAGTGTTGCAGTCCAAAACTAGTATAAGTACCGAATTGGACATCTTTATGTACAAGGTAGTTTGAAGCCTGAACCACTCCATTAGTGAAGTGTTTTGTTTTGGAACCAGCCCAAAATATGGCCAAACAGGTCTACTAACTACCACTTAACAAACATTGTCTTTACATTCTCCCTGTAGTAAAACGTCCCTAATACTGCAGAGTTAATGTAATAGGGATTACATTTAAGCTATATATCTAAAAAAAGGCAAGTTTCTAGAATTATATCTATTTCACGCATTTCAGTTTTTAGTGCAAATGTTTCAAAATAACCTTGATGTTTATTTGTGCAAATATCCCCAATGGGTGGTTTGGTAGTAGTAATCACAGACGCAGAAAACAAAAAACGTTGCAGCAGATTTATGTGACAACACAGTACATAACACCAACATAGCATGATGAACTGATAGGGCGTTATGTAAAAGAGAAAAAAAACATGGTCAGTCTAAAAATACTATCAAAGCCGTGACAGGACTTGCTGATGTTATCTGTTCATCCCGTCCATCACAAGCACTCCGTGATGTTGTCACATGCAGGAACGATAACAGTCCGTGTGGTCATGCTTCTGCTTTTTATACCGATAAGGGAGGAGTCCACATACGCAAATGATTTGTATACATACACACATATCTTTGCACATCTGTTCTTATGTTGAACTTACATAAGCTGTGCACTGGTGCAGGATCAGGATCATTCTGTATTTGTAGATAAAAATGAAAATTGGAGGTACGGTGCTGCTGTGGTTAGCGCTGTCACCTCACAGCTAGAAGGTCATGGGTTCATGTCCCAGCCTGGAGTCTCTCTGTGTGGCATTTACATGTTCTCCCTGTGACTGCGTGGGTTTTCACCGGCTTCAGCTTCCTCTCACAATCCAGAGATATGCTGAGGTTAACTTGTGATTCTCTGTAGGTGTGAATGTGAGTCTTGTTGATTCTCTGTCTTTCTATGCGGCCCTACGATAGACTGGTGTCCCCTACCTTCGCCCTAAGACGCTTAAGAGGATTAAGCAGTGTATAGATAATGGATGGATGGATGGATGGATGGATGAGTGGATGGATGGATGGATGGAGAGCTCAGTTGGTATTACTTCCCTGTCATGTCATTGTATATTTCAGAGTTCAGGTGATTTTTCATAAACACGTAGTCTTAGACATATCACACTGTATTTATTTGCATTCAAATATAACAGCAAATGTTATCACTAGAACTTGTCCAATAAAAAAAAAATGTTGTGAGATTTAAACAATGGAAATCAAATGTAAGCGTAAATGTAATTTAGACAGTATTAACACACTGATGATAAAATGGTGGCAGAATTCCTGACCATAAACCTGGTTATTAAAGAAACACCAGTAAAAGGTGACAATGAACAGCTGATTGCGCCATCGGTTTCTGATTCTGTGTATCCAGATTTTGTTATTTTGGAACAAGGCCCAGGTTCAGTCTGTTCAAAAGGCTCTTTGAAGGTTCTGTGTTCGTGGGAGGCCTCTTTGAGTGGATTCAGCCTCTGCATTTGAAAATAGCTATTAGCACCTTCTGCTGATACTAGTGCATCCAGGACAAGCACGCAAAAATGTGACAGCTATGGAGTGGAGACGATAGCCAACAGTTTTGTAATTCTTACTTTCTTAGCAGCCGAGGAGTCCTCATACTAGAAAGACTGATTGTACACCAGTATGATACTTACTACAAAGTATGATTGGTATTAATACCACACCTCAGCTATGACCAGGTCTTTTATTTAGAGGTGTGAGCATGAAAGCAGCTGGTTTGTCAACAGTATGGCTGTGTTGAGTTTATTTTAGCAATTGAGTAAATCTGAAGTCATGTTTGTTTGTTGAAACAGATAAATGGAATTAAAAGCACTTTTTTAAAGACAAATTCCATCCATTTTAATGTCTATCACACAGAGAAGCATTCGGGGCAGAGGAAAATTGTGAACAACCAAAATATAATCATACCTTCCAAAAATCGCAGTATTTTATGTCACTGCCTGTAATACCTGAGTGTTACGGACGTTTGGATTAGGTTTTCAAAAAACAATGTTTGTGAAATAACCAAAGCAAGCTCATAAAATATGAAGATGTAGAAATGATATATTAACATACAGTATCTCTGTAAGGTTGTTTAACCCACATGTTGATAGCTGCTGCTCTCTGTGTCATCAGGTCATCTGGACTTGGAGGGTCTCTTCCTGGTTAATGGCAACGCAGAGCGAGTAGAGTGGCTCCGTCAGCGCTATGACAGTGGTGAGGAGGTGGAGCTGGGGAAAGAGGCCGACCTGGCGTCAGCGGTCAGTTTGCTCCGACTCTTCCTGCAGGAGCTTCCTGAACCCGTTATCCCAACGGCTATACAAGGACACATACTACAGCTCCACCAAGGTGTGTGACAGGGTCTTCTTTTCCTCTTCTCATGCCATTCTGCATTTCCTCTTTAGTCAATCACTCCACCATCTTTCACTTTTTATCCACTCTATTAATGAAAAAAAAAAAAAGCATTTGTTTGTGGTTTCTCTCAGGGTCTCACTTTTGCTCAAGGTTAGTTTATGCAGGTATTTTTGTTTTTTTGCAAAGATTTTACCTGTTTGCTGTGCACTTCATACTGTTGCGTTTCCTCCCAGAACCTTTTTTTTTATTTTTTTTTCCTCCCCTCTGTTTTTGTCCTCACTGTTTCGTATCTACCTCTTGGCCAGGTCACCATTGTAAATGAGAACTGGTTCTCAATTGACTTACCTGGTTAAACAAAGGTTAAATAAATAAATAAAAAATAGCGTGGAGCTTAATGGTTTTGCAAATATCGTACATAGTCCATAAATCTATTTAATGAGTCATTCAATGAAATATCAGTCAGGGCCTCCAACCCAAGCCCTTCAGAATTAACTGCTGTTTTTTGTAGGACAGTTTTAGTATGTTCAATTAATGTATGCAAAAGTGTATCTTCATACCATGCATATTTTACGACTTACAGGCCCGTACATAAAGTGGATTATTTGAGTTACTTTTCCCCAGCATTTTTCAGAAGAACATGAGATACCAACATGAAATTCTTTGGCATGGAAAACGATTTTAATACTGAAACTGAATTAATTTTACATCCACTCCAAGTGCCAAGTGGTTTTGCACTATTTTTTAAATAACTGACTTTGAGCATCAATATCATTTTTAATGTCCATCACATAGAGTAATGGAAAGATTGGTACCCTTGATATATTCATATTCAAATTCATCTTCAAATCATGATTCTTTGTCCGTCAAAGCAAATTTCTAATATAGGCATATTTACCAGGTGGGAATTTTTTCAGAGTTGGTTGATTTTGTATGGAATGGCCCACATATCAAAAGAGAGGTGACCATAACTGTTCAAAAAACATGCAGAGCTTGCGCTATTGTCCACTATTTCTGGACTTTCATCCAAGTTGATTTTGTGCTAAGCTGTTATGACTGTGTCCATGTTGGCAGACGTTGGTTACCTAAGCTGTGAATACACAGAACAGTGGTCTGATCACTAAATGAAGTGGAAATTAGCTAAACAAACTCTTTTATAACACATTTTTTTTAATCTACTGTACTGAGGTTCACTTTTCATCAGTTCTTCTCTTCTTACTGTCTGCCTCTGCCTCATCTGTTCACGCTCTTTTAAAGTCAAAATCTAAGGTTGTGTTAATAATGACCCTTGTTGCTTAGAGACCATCTTTGTTCTTCCCTTTGACAAATGTTTTCAAATTACAGAAAAACAAGAAAAATGTGCTCATGTAAGTCCTAGAAACATTTAAATAAATAATTCATAGTATTCCCCACAATCAGATGAAGCACAGTCACAGTCCTAATTAAATAAGAGATGGGTTCTAGTTGTTTTAATGGACAGTGTCTAATGACTTCCACAAAAATCACCCATTTTCACATTTGTTCTGTTCCTTTTTGGTTCGCCTCTTTGCCCTGTCCTCTTTTGTCTCTGTTTTATCAAGATAATCTGCTCTAATCCCCATGTCATGATGGTGGCTGTTCCAGTTGCTGTCATGCAGATTAAAGCTGAAGGGTGTTGGGGGTTTGTGGACTCTCTGTGCCATGTCATTAATTTCTTATTCTTTTATACACTACCTATAATGGCACTGCTGTGGAACACATTAAGATCACCTTTTTTGCACATTTTCCTCCCAACTGCCTTTCCCTGTTTCACCCGATTTCACCTTTCCTAGACAACTTAACATACTCTTTCACCCCTCTAAGAGTTTTTAAGGTCATCTGTGAAGGGACACCTTCTTGGTAACAGGGTTGCACAGTGTTTTTTTTTATTATTTTTTTACCAATATCCTGATATGTTTCAACTCTTTTTGGCCAATGCCAGAACTGATATTTGCACAGATTTTTTCCACCATATTGCAGAGGACATCAAGTCTTTCCTGTGGTAGAATTAGTACATTGTTATACCAGCTCTTGCTGCGATGACCAAATGCACACATAAAATATAATGCTACAGCCTAATAATGATGCCTGCAATGCTGATATCCTGCTTTCTGCTCTGAAACATCTCCAGATTACAGCAATGAAGAAGAGCTGTGTAGAAACTTGAAGTATCTGCTGCAGCAGCTTCCCCAGTTGAACTATGGTCTGCTGCGTTTCCTGTGCCGCTTCCTATCCAGTGTGGCATCACTTCAGCAGGAGAGCTGGAACATTGGGGCGCTGGCCGCCGTCTTCGGACCAGACATCTTCCAGTAAGTTGCCTCTATAGGGTATTTTGAGAATTGTGGTTAATTATCACAATCGTGCACATTTGCAAACTAACGTGGGCTGTCAGATGCTGTGAGCTGAGGTAACCAAGGTGATGTTTGTCCACCTTAAAGTATTTACTTTAAAGCTTATGGAGATCCAGCTGGATTTTGCACTTTCTTATTGTTTTCAGCCATATTTCTGCTTGTGGCGTTGTAAAGGATGTGAATTGGCCCTCACTGTGTGTATTGAAATATACAGTAGCACAACTGCTATTGTATCTTTTACTACAGTTGTAAATTGTTTTATTGGTGCACATATTCACTGGACATAAAATCATGTAGTTTAATCTGGCACATGTCATCAGATCTCCATAAAGCTGTAAAAACACTGTTGCCATAGACCTGACACCAGCTAACACAGCCACACATTGAACTGACAGCCGTACGGGCAGACAGACGACATGTAAAGAAAATACATTTTTTTGGCAGTTGGAGGAGCACACAGACACACACACACACACACACACATTGAGGGACACACGCAGAGGTATACAATTACAAGAAAAAGTTTGGAATTACCAGGTTTTAAGAACTAATTACTCATAAAATATGGTCTGATCCTCATCTATAAGACACACCCAGTCTAACTAAACTAATAATAATAAGAAAACTTTTGAATTGAAGAACTCGCAGAGCCTACATTGGATGTTTCCTGTAGCAGCTGTGAGACTTTCAGAGGGGTGAATTGGAATCTTGGACCTTTCCTCACTACAAAACTCTTTCAGTTCATCAATATTTCTGGGATGTCTCAATTGAACAGCCCTTCGAAGATCATGCTAGAGCATCTCAATTGCGTTGAGGTCAGAACTCTGACTTCCAAAACATGAATTTTCTTGTTTTTCAACCACTCTGAATTGAATTACTTGTGTGCTTTGGGTTGTTATCCTGTTGCATCACCCAGCCTCTCTGAAGCTTCAGGTCATGGACCACTGCCCTGACATTTCTTGCGAAATTTCTTCATACTATTTTGAATTTATTGGTCTCTCATGATTGTAAGGCGTCCCTGCCCTAAGGCAGCAAAGCAGCCACAAACTTGATGCTCTCTCCTCCATGCTTAACAGTAGGGATTAGGTTTTGGTGTGGGTGTGCAGGGTCTTTTTTCATCCAAACACAGTGTTGTAGAATTAATTCTGAATTAATGGACACCTAGGTCTTTAGAAATGCATTCATAGCCTTTTCCAGATTTGTGCATCTTAATAATGCTTCTCAGAAGGTCAAACCAACCACTCTCTTGAGAAGAGCAGATTTTGTCAGTAACCAGATTTTGTATGCCTTTATTTATAGGAAGAGGCACCTCTACAACCCACATTTTCAATCTCATCTTCTTAACTGGAACAATTGACGCAAAGTAGATTTTGACGGTTATTAGCACAGACGTTCACATACTTTTTCCAGCCTGGGCTGTGAACGATTACTCAGCGTGTTTAATAAAGAGGTGAAAAAATGTTTGGGTGTTGGTAGCTTAGTCAGATTGTGTTTATTTATGATTGTGACTTAGTTAAAGATCAGACCACATTTTATGAGTAATCAGTGCATGGTAATTCTGAAGGGTTCACAAACTTTTTCTTGCTGCTGTACATAAGTTAGAAAGCAGGGAGTTTATTCGGTTACAAGTATTGACATCTAATGGAAAACAGTGTGCAGCCAACACAACATGCTCTTCTCTCATCTTCCATCTGCAGTCTGTCAACAGAAGGAGAAGACCTTCGCGACCAGGAGTCTGTCAGCAGAGTCCTGGCAGAGCTGCTAGACAATCAGGAGGGCCTGTTTGACTCGGAGGACGATGACGTCTCCACGACCAACGATTACAGCTCCATCAATGAACAGGTTTGGCCCATCTCCTTTATACCTCACTGCTTCTTACACTCTTTTTCTATCTCGTAAAGAGTGAATCAGTATTCAGTAGTTCATAATAGTTGACTTGTCACACTTTTCCCGTATGCTTTTGCAAAGGCTTTTGATTTTATTGAATATATTTCCTCTTGTTGTGTGAACGGTGAAAATGATGTGAAGTTTTTTCTGGCTATCATTGAAAAACATTTGATCACACTCCACGGGGAGGTGGTCGTTTATTAGGCTTTTTTTTCTGTTTGTTGGTTTTTCCAGCCTATACATCTCTTCTCTCCTGATGCAATGGTTCTGTTTCTCCTCAGGGATAAACAAAGTATGGTTTTTGTCTATTTTTGTTCACCCCACCATTCTCCAGAGGGGGTCTTTGTAGTTTTTCTTTTTATCCCCACATAATCATAGTCTATAAATCTGCCAAATAACAATAAATACCTTTTAACTTGATATAAAATAACTGACGGTTTTCAAATAAAAATATTTCCATAAACAGTACAAAAGAAAGTGAAACAATCTTCTCATTGTGGTAGGGCTGTTTGCATAGAAAAAGAAGTAATGAATACGGGAATTCATTGTCAACATTCCTAACATAATAGCAAAGAAATCTAGTTTCAGAAGCCTTCAAAATCCCCTTTGTCCTCTTCCTCTTTAATGGCACTGAAACAGTAGAATGTGGCATTTAGCGCCGTCAGTGTCAGGGGTGAAATTCTTTCTGGGCCGACACACAGAGACAGCAGACAGATCCTTCTATGAAAAGTGAAAGATTTAAAATTTTAAATGCCACCAAACTGCTTTTGGGAAAAATACAAGGCCACAGTGATGGGTTTAACAGAGAAAGATTAGCAACATAACACCATAACATGGTGTAAAGTTTCTGAATCTGAATTCACGGATGAATAATCTAACACAACATAATGTGAATATGTAAAACATAAGAATTATCATCATTAACTCATTGTTGACATTGTGGACACCACCAGCAGTGCAGTACATGTTATAAATACTCAACTGTTTAAGACACCTCTAGAATTACCACACTGATTTGTTTTGACTCCAGTGATAGTGTAAATCTACATGACTGCATCCCTTACATAGGAGTACAAATGTTTTCCTGCCATAACAACCTGTAAAGGGATGTAAATAACATTGATATTCAGATGAACCCACTTCCTCTCGTTATTGTTGAACCCTACACAGTATTACTCCACAGAAAGTTCTCCCATAAACAAAATATTTTCAGGAAGAATCTAGAAGAACTCCACCCAAACACACCTGCTTTCTTACGCATACTGTACACAGAGCATTGAATAAACTCTGGCCTGTAAATATTGTTTTCAGTTTTATGAAAATCTGACCGACTCCAGCTGTAAGAATGAACCTAGTACAATTAAGGCATGCCAAACGTTTTTGGTCTCAGTTGTGTTGAACTCATTTTTGCTGTCTAACGCAGTACAAAGAGAGGTTTATGTAACATTTAACTTGGCAGCAGTCTGATTATGGTGTATTTATATACGATAACAGACACACACACACACACAATAATATGAGTCAACTCTTGATTGGTATCTCACATGCACTGCTAATTCAATTCCTGTCACATTTAAGTGTACATTGTTCAACACAGCAGCACAGAGGCTGTAAAGATAATGTTGAAATGTTGAAGAGAAAGGACCAACCGCCATTGTAAAAGTCCGACCTGGACAAAAACCGAAACTCTCTACTCGTCTATAGAAGGTCACCTATCCACAAACCTTCAGCTCCCTGCTTTATTGCTTTGTTAGTACATCTGTGCTTCCCTTTTATTTTACTTTCATGGACTTTGCATTTCTATTTTAGTGTGCTCTTAAAACTGCTAAAACTTTGCTCCAATTCTGCTTGCCTTGTATTCTCGAGTCCTTGGTGCTATTATCTGCCACATCCTTCATTTATGCGAGAAAAAACTGTCTCCAAAGCGTTGGTTTGTAAAAGGAAGTTAATTAGATTGAAATTGAGCTCAGAACAACAATAAGTTGAAGTAGAAATTTCCCTCCATTCATCTCAGTGAATTTCATTTTTATTTTTCACATTCCTCATCTTTCTTGTGTTTTTTTCTTCTTCCTTTCTCTCATTGTCCTTGGTTTTATTGTCTGGCGTGTCAGATGAATGAGAATATAACCAAGAGACGGAATGAGAGAAAGAGCAGACAGAGACAGCGAAACAAATCTGTAAAGGCATATCATCTGTGTGCCGATCCATGTGTCTTATGTAAGAGAGAGGGCAAAAAAAAGTGGGTGGTTTGGAGAAGGAGGGAGGGGGGAGAGAAAGCAGTCAGGAAGATGGGGGAGAAATGGTGAGAGTAAAGAGAGAAACGAGGAAGAAAGAAATGCAGAGAGGGAGGTAGATCTGGTGAGGCAGGGGAGGAGGATAAGAAAAGAAGCCGGTGATGATGTAACGGTGCAACTCACACCTCCAGCCCCTGCACTACACTGGGGATGGTTCTCTGTGCGAACAAACCCTCATGAAGGGGATTATCTCCTACATACACCTGATTTTACACAGGCGACATTGAGCTAAGCCTGGTTACGAACTCAAGAGTGGGTTAAAAATGCCTCACAGAGGTGAGTTAGAACAAGTTAAATAAACCAGTCGTAAAACAAGAAGATGGAGGAGCAACTTAACTGAGAAATGCATTAAAGATAGAGGGAATGAAAAGGAAGAAAACAGCGTCCTCATGGCATGTATGGGCTTAACTTTGAAACACAATGGATCTGACAGTGAGAACTGCTAAGCTGGATTTCGGCTTGTTCGTTGGCAAAACGGGAGTCAGTGGAATTATTGTTTAGGTGAGAGCGAGGCTGTGCCGAGACTTGTTGTTACTGCGATGGTGGCAGCGAGCGTGTTTGTTTTGCTTCACTGTTTGATGAAGCATTATAGAGGCAGGCTTTCTGTACAGAGTATGGACAAATAACTAAAATCAACACGCACTCGTTAGATAAGAACAGAAAATTTCCATGGCCTATCACAATTTTGGCATAGCTTAGCACAAAGGCGACGGTCAGTTTTCATTCCGCTGCACGCTTTTCCTTTGCACAATGCATTCTGTGGAGTTACAAAGCGACGTGTTCTGTTTTGATTCATGCCACTCAGAAATGGAGCAACAGTACAGTACCAGTGCGGGGAACATGACAAACGTGCACAGTGTCCCATCTTAATAAGTCTGTATCTGTATTTCCAAGACCACTGTTGGCTTTTCTGGAGAGAGAACGTGACTTGTAGGCTTGATTTAATTTGACCACCGAATCTTCAGGCCTGGGCCTCTTGAGCTCCTCTCTTTCCCTCTATAAATGTTGGTGGCAATTTTCTGTCTCATGTCTGAACAAGACACCACAATAGACATTAATTAAGGTTTCAATTGCAAGATTAGTCTAAAATCCATCGCTTATGTAAGCTTGTGAGAAAACTGAGAGCATTATTGAGAGTTTAGTTCTTTACGCTGCTGTTCTCAAGCGTAATATTACTTCCTTTCATGCACCAGCAGCCCAAAATTTCACAAGCATACCGCTATTTTTTTGTACATGTCCTGTAATCTGTGAATATAGCCATAAGAAATATTTACATATTAAAACCTATGTCTACATAAGAAGAAATTAGAACTTTGAAAGCTAGAAGAAGCCTGGATAGTGTATTCTGTTTAAAAAGGGGTTTAAAGGCAACTTCACTAGTCTGACAGTATTGGACAAGACGGTATTGTCTGTCCACTTAATTAATTAGTTTCTTGCTGAAAGCATAAGTACACTCTGGACTGTGAACATTAATCACAACTGGTTGGATGAAGAAAACGTATAAATACCAGAGAATGTTACAGGGAACAGCCTGTATATGTCAGATTATATACACTTAGATGATAAGTGGCTAAAGTGATAAACTGTCGAGCAATTAACTATTCAAGCTGCAACATGAAGTTGTTTAAGGTAGAGGTGATGGCTTCGTTGGATAGCAGAGGAGATTTATAACATCTCTATAAGAGTACATACACTATAAACACACCAAAATCTATCTGGATATACACAGCCGCTCTGTTGATTTATTTACTTTGACTGCCTTCATGAGTAGTCCGAGAGAATATAAATGTCTGTAAATCAGTTGCTAACACATTTGGAGGTAAGGATGAGTTCTGGACCGCACAGCCCACTCACTGCAGGAACGTTAGGCCAGAGGGCTTTTCTCTTGAGGTGCTGCTAGAAGTAAACAGTGCAGTCATACAGGCAGGAATGTGCAAGAAAGCACCGAGGGGAGATGAAATTGAACATTTTGAACCTGTACACTTGGAATGTTTTTCCAGCACTTAAATTATGCCACTTGAATGCAAAATTTTGCATTTATCTATTTTTATTTTTCCCCCTCTGGAAGCTGTTTTCTCAGTAGCCTCTGATTTAGAGTCTAAATATGAAACAAGTGAATACCGTGAGAAAGCAGATAATTCTCTCTCACTGATGAGCACTACCGTTTAATTCAGTACTCATTTATGCGTTTCAAGGCTTAATGTGTATTGCTGCTAGGCATTTATTTCAGCTTCATTAGATCTCATCAGCTGTTTTCAGTGACATTCCTTTATCACTTTGACATACTAGTGGCATAGCAAGGCAGAAAGTGATTACATCATTAAGACTTTAATGACCAAATATGTTGTATGTTACTGTTGAATGAACACAATATTTATAGATGCTATACCTATATAAGGTTAGCCTCATAAATGAACAGTTCTTATCAGTAACTGGACCTAACAAGCATAGGGGTGAGACTGTGTGTTTCCAATGTTAGAATCAAGGAAGTATCCAAATCAAAAGCTGTTTTTATAAATACAGTAAACAAAAAGCAGTTGCAAAAATGACAGCACTCAAAAAGTAAGATACAACAAACCTGTAAAACTGAATTGTGTAAAGGTCTGAAATCATTAAAAGAAAAATCACAAGCCAGCTCATTAACCCAAGAACAAAATCTCCTTGACCGATTAAATTCTTCTGCACGATTAGATAAATCCTCACAACTTGAAGTGTTTCAAAGAGGAAAGAAATGCTTGTCTTCTATTGTTTTTTTTTTCTCATTGTCAAACAGTAACACTGAAAATGAATGTTTTCTGTGGACGTACAATATATTGACTGTGCTGCTGGTAACCAATCTAACCAAGAATAAAGGGGGCATACAAAAGACTTTGAAAACCACGGATGTAGGCCACAGTTTGAGACTTGTAATGTTCAGTCCAAGTCAGTTGGCATTGTTCCGTGGTCTTGGCCTGCGAACAGTTCAGAAGCCAAGCTAATGATGTCAGCGCTGCTTGTTGTTTTCTTTGTCCTTCATCCTAAAACTTGGACTGGACGGCTGAACAAGGGCCAAGGTCGTGACCTTTTGTTCCAGGGTGTTTTCTGCCCGGGTCTTTTCAGCCACTCAGACAGACACTCTCAACATACAGCGATACACATGTGCAGCCAATATGGGCAACAGCATGACACTTGATATCTAAACAGCCCATATGATACAAACAGCACCTTCTGTTTTTGAACTCTGATTTGTGAGTTAACATGATTAGATTTCTCACACTCTTGAATAAGGGGATAATATTTCCAGCCCTTCCAATGACCATGCAAGGTCATCCTGGCAGGATTTAACTGCTCTTATCCTCTAATGTTGTTACATCACCTCAAAGGCTTTCTGATAACTTACTCAACACAACGTTGACCATATTTATGACCTTGTTTATGCCATTCGAATAAACGCCTATAGCCCAGGGGGTAGTTATAAAATCGAGCTTCGGTGTTTGTTACGTCAGCGCTGCCTGTTAATGGTAATCCACAAGGGGACTTTTGTATTTAAAGTCATATGCAGGCTCGTTTTTCCATATCACTGACCAGCAGCCTTGATAGAATATGCTCTTGATTGCTGTATAATCCAAGGTCATGTTCATCGTCATTTATATTACTGATGAATAACTTTGAATGAATTTTACATTATGATGATAATGTAGTTCAGCATTTCAGTCAAGGTCCTTAGGTCCCAGACTCCTGCTAGTTTTTTTCCGGCCATGTAATCTGAAATAATTTCACAGTCAACGAATACTGATCTGGATGATGTCAGGACGAAGCTGTTTGCTAAATGGATGGTTTTAGATTTATTATTCCAGGAGTCTATTTGATTAAATGTAGATGATTTATTTCCAACTGCTTGTCTCTTAGTTTCATTGAGATTGCGGTATCCCTATTTCAGTGGAAATGTAACCCTTTGAACCTGCCGGCCAGGTTTGAAAAGCATGTTGTTTTAATTGAATTTAATTAAAATTTCAGGTTAAAATTGTGATATTTCATCTGAATTATTTTATTCTGCATGCCTCAGCTAAAAAAGTTTGCTTGAAACGAAAGTTCTTAACTCCTCTGCGCAAGCCAGAAGCCGTTAGAGACTCAGTGACATCAACGGTCGAGAGACAAACATTCAGGGACTTTTTTGGTGAATTGGACTGAACTGCAGGCAGTGTGCCTCCTACTTGCCCTCTATATAAATACAGAGGGCAAGTAGGAGGCAAATATGAAAACACATTTCAAATGTAAATAGTTCAATATCTATAGTATGTAAAGACATTTGGGGAAAAAAATTTGCACTTAATAATTCTGTATATTTTCAATTTGTTTTCTGAAATATCAAGTCAAAGAAATTCATTTTTTTCTGCACTAATGATTCATTGCATCATAACTTTGTTGTACTTGCATAAAACACATTTTTTGAGTTGTCTCTGTTTCTAGTCATGGTTGTGCTGTTTCCGTAAAAGTGCACTCTTTTTTTTATTATTCATTTTATCCTTGTTTGTTATTTAAATGAATTAAATTCTAACCCTTATTTTTACACACTGGACTTGCAAACTGCATAGCTATGTTGTCACAAACCTAGCTTATACATGCATGTCTAGAACTTGGATTTATGTGAGTACAGAGGAACTTAAGCAGATTAATGTGGAAAATCTGCACTTACATCATTCTGCACAGTGAAAGTCAAACAAGGCAAGTAACAATAAGGGACACTTGGAGATATCTGAATTGTGGTTTTAGTTTCATCTTAAACTAAGACAGCTATTTAACATTTAAATGTTTTATTTAGTCAAAACTACATATATATATATCCTTGTTTGTGATGAGGGCCTTTGAACTACTCTTTCAACCATCAGCACAAAACATTAGGCCATATGAGCAAGTATAACTAGGAAGTCATTGTGGAATAAAGGTGTAGGAGTCTCTGTGCATCACCCAGTTAAAGCTTAAATCAGTGTCTGCAAATATAACAGAGGCAGACACTGGAAAGATTAGTTTCTGCATCAGTATGAATGAAGACATGCTTTATGTTGACATGTTAGTTACTGGACTTTTTCCAACCTCTTACTGTCACCGTGTGCTCCATGTCTAATTTTTCCAGATCTTGTAGTAGAGCTTCATCACAGTGCATTTGTGTTTTTTAAAGCAAAGGAGTTGTGTGATGGTGAATGAGAGGTTATAGTGAATATTAATATATTTTTAAGGTTTCCGTATCATTGGTTCTTTTATCTAATATTTTACTCTTTATGTGTAAATGTGTGCAAAATGTCAACTCATCCCAATATGTCTCCGCTTAGCTGAACACCAACACAAAGATGTTGAAATTACGTAAGCTCCTATAAGTTGTGGCAATTAAAAAGATTTTAAAAATTGGACTGAAGCTGTCTAAAAGTAGGATTTCTTTACCCATTCACACACACACACACACACACACACACACACACACACACACACAGCAAAGTCCTGTGAGTCATCCTCTGAGATCTGCACATGTGACGATGCAAGAATTCCCCAACAGCCAATGAGAGCGTTTTGAACAGAGGTGTTTCCATAGCGACGACACAGTGACAGCAGCAGATGGGGTTGCTGCTAAGAAGAGCGAAGGAGAGAGGCAAATGAAAGGGAATAGAGAAGAAGGCAAACAGAATGATGCTGGAGGGGGAGGGAAAAAAAAAAAACTCATGATGACGAATCTGGTTTAACCTTTTAACCTATGTTTCTTTCAGGGTTTTTCTCACTTCAGATCGAGCTGACGTTCAGCGCGTTAACCACACGTGTGAAAGCTCTCGTGAACAGCTTGAATCACTAGTGCGTTAGATCAGCTGACAGTGTTTCAGAACACATATGACATTTATTTATAAATGTTGCACAATACTGAATCGACAGACATGTGAGCTGCATAGCATAACCTACAGCTAAAGGATTACTGTTTGTGTCTTGTTCACATGCTGTCAGCTTTCAGTAAGATGATCAGTTATTTCTGTCAACATATTTACTCCCCCTCCCTCTCTCATCAACATCTCCCTCCCTTACCCTTTTCTCCTTCCCATCTCCCCTTCCCTTTTTTTTTTTTTTTTTTACCAGCAGAGTCATTATCACTCCCTTTTTCTCTCCCTTTGGCTCTCCCCCAATTCAATTCAATTGCCTTGACCTTTGCCTCTAAACAAAAGCTACTGAAAAAGCCAGTTTCGTTGCATAATTTCACGAGATATATGCAGCTTCACTAGCCACCTATTCCCTCCTTCGTCTTCTCTCCGCACAATGTAGGTACTATATTTTCAAAAATCTGTGGGAGACACTTGTTTCTCTGTTTTCCCTCATTCTCTCTTTCTCTACTCTTAGAGTGACTGTGACGTGAATGGTTATTAATGTAGCGTGACATATTTAAATCAAGCTAAATATTAACCTTGAAAAAACAAAATGCAATGTCTTGTCTAGTTTAATTCATATCAAGCAGCAAAGTGCTTTAGATAGTGTATTATGGTGGGTTTACTTTGCCTTATTGCGCAAACTGTAATATGACTATCACACATGGGTACATTGCTAACTCAACATGAAAATGATATATCCTGAGCCCCCCTTTAAACCCTCCGTGCCTCGCCCTCCCTCTTCTCTTTCCGCCTACTCTTGAAGCTCACCCCCTCCATCTGTCCTTCAAAGAAAATGTTTCCTTTTTATATTTTATGCTCCCATCTCCCTGCTTAACACTGTATCTGTGTTGTCAGTGTCCTGCTCATTAGCTTTATCCATGTTTTGATGTCTCGTGGAACAAACTGTGATGTCTTGGTACTGTCTTGCAGAAACACAGAGTATCCGCACCTTTCTTTAAACTTCTCTAACCAGAAATGCTTTTCTCTCTGCTCGTTTCAATTTGGGAACAGTTCACCACCAGAAAGTCACAAGTAAATCCAAACAGAGAGAGAAACTGATGTGGGAGGCGTATTAATATTGAGCCCTTGGTCACAAACAGTAATCTCTTTAGATTTGAAAGGATGGAAACAACTCCTTCCACAGGTGTAAACTGTACTCTTGATGTCATTTATTGTCCAAATCAGTGAGAAAAAAATCTATTGTGATGCTTTGGTCAGATGAACATAATCTTACTTTGTAGCTGTACACCTGGAACACCATAATGCTTCTCATTGGACTCCGTCATAAAGCTGTTAAATATCAGTATGAATATGTTTCCATGACATAAGTTAACCTTCTCAACCCCGAGAAATTTCTGGGTGGTTTTGCTCCTGTCAAACTGGGCTCATATTATAGTATAACAAACTCTTCAAGACTCCCACAATGTGTTGTGAAATATTTTTTTTGTACAAAAGCTGGAAAAAATCAAATCAACATGTATCACATTTCACCTGTTACCAGTACTGGGAAAAAGGAAACAATGTTACTGTATAAACTACACATATTTCACTACTTACATTTTTTATTTGTTTCCATACTTCCATGCCGTCCTTTCTGCTCCGTGTGAACACAACCTGCAGTTTAGCTGAAAAGCCCCTGAGTTTTGTCGCATGACTGTTGGTCAAAGCTGAGCCACTAACCCAGTTACAGCGAGTAGCACACTTGTTTTTGTTTTCTAAAAAATCTACTGAGTTCACATGGTTTTATAGCGTTTCTGTCTTATATTGTTGTCTTCAGATCACAGAGCTGTTGGATGATGACAAGTGTGAGGCAGAGTGTGAAGAGCTGCCACAGGACGGAGAGGAAGGCCCCGCCGCCTCCGACTCACCACAACACACCAACGACAGCCCCTCATCCAGGTGAGACGGCTGTGTCTTTATTAGTAGATGGGATAATAAGTTGTGTCATCTCAGAATCAGACTGAGAGAGGGTATTATCTGTGACAAAGATCTCAGACCTGAGCTACAAAGCAAAACATTTCAGTTATTTGGTCAATCAGCAGTTCTGTTGTTTTATGAGCTGCTTGTCTCTAGGGCTAGTCCGAATAGCAATTTCTGGGCTCCGGATATTTGGGCCCAATTAATCACAAACATCCGAATATTAATATCCGGATACCACCACAGCGACCGAATATTCGGATATTCTGGTCCAGGCCTACTTGTCTCACTGTGATTTACAGAACTTTGGTTTGGTGTGTAATGGGTTTAGAGAGACCTCCAGCTTTTGGCATCCATATATCTCGCTCTCTTCTAAATTTAATAATTTCCAGAATTGGTCCTCCAACCTATGGCTGTTATATTTTCCATAGTGCATCTTATGAAAGCAAAATGACTCGATGATAATTTGTTTGTTTAGGCATAACTGACTCATGGTAGACCTATAAAACTGACTTATCTGCTTCTGTCATTGGAGAGATTTATTGAAGTATTGTTGTATAGTTAAGTTATTTTATATATTTATATATATACTTCATAATATTACACTAAATGTATTTAGCATGGTGATGTTTGCCATACTCTGCCCAGTTGGGTAAGTTTTAGTCAATATTGTAAGTTTTCAGCTCATTTATTCATGATGTATTTTTGGTCATTCAGACATCTCAAAAGTAGCGACAGCACTGTGAACAATCTGGCAGCATAGCAGGAGAACAGTTGTGTCAGTTAATTTTGCACGTTTATTTGTTTGTGTGTGCTTAAAATTGAGGTAAATGTTAAAATACAAATTAAATGCAATGCATATGTTATGTTTTTACATCAATACTTGGTGTAAAATGCATCTGCTACTTAGTCTTAGGGCCAACATAATGGGAAAAGAAAATCTTTTAAAGTTTGAAGCGACTTCCCTGTTTACTTCGGTTTTAGGCGACTTGTGTTAAATCATGTGTTCAATGTTATTTAACTGGTAGCCACGAGACAACAAATGTCACATACATGCAGGTCGTCACATACACAGGATAAGGCAGTTCTTCAAATATTCAGTCCTGACCCAAGGACCAGAGTTCAATCCTCCAGCTGGAACACTGAGATCTTGTCAGGTTCTTCTGATCTGCTTGATCTCCTTTAAGTTCATTACTGTGCGCTACATCCAGATTACTGCATATAGACAACTGCACATATAACACAATGTAATTCTCATTGCTACCTGAGACCTCATGTGAACGGTGTGCAGGGAAGATGATAACGCTGATAAAAGATGTGTAAAGAGACACACATTTTTCATTTTGGTTCTATTTAATTAGGTAGACATAGGAAAGCACAATCTCAAAGCTTCCGTCATCCTGCTAATGGTTTATGTTGTAGTTGGTGCTGTTTGAATCAGTCAGTCATTTTATTAAGGCTTCACTTTGGAGCACAAAGAAAACTGTTACAAGCTTTTACTGTGCTGTGCAAATAACTTTAAGTCAGCACAGAACACAAAGTGAGTGTAAGTAAATAAAGTTTTACTTGTCAAACACTTGTCAAAATCAAAGTTAGAAAGTTCTTCACAAATAAAACCTTGAACAGAAAATCGAGCATGCAAGGCAGCAGCAAACACAAGCTGTAAAATAGAATCAACAAAACAGAAATTGTCAAGTGGAAAAATATTGCCACTTTGGGGTCAAAGATAGTGTAGAGCAAAATGTGCTTCTACAGATTCAGAAATGATGATAGCGACAGATGAGAAAATAAGCTGCCAGTAAAAAGAGGAGAGATTACTTCCTATCATAGTATTTGGACTTCATAGTCTGTATCTGTATGAACTCCTGGGATCTAGATGATGAAAATAAGATTAAACACCAACAGACCAACTTTAACTTGGAGTCAGTTCCTGACGATTATAGGATTATAAGGTTATTGATTCAGTGTCTTACACATTGATAGCTGGATGGATCAAAGCAAAAAGTTGAGTCCAGGGAAAGACAATAGTTGTCTTGTTTGTATGAATATCCGTTGGTTCCTTAGGGGGAATTGCTTGTCTGTGGGTCTGGGTCGCACACTTGGCTCCAACTTACGGTCCATAAATCATTTGGTTGGATGTTGTCCAGAGTTTCTTTTGACTTGACTCTAAGGACTATGAATCCCACTTCCTTTGCAGGGTTTGTAGTCCCGTTTGTTGAATGAGGAGTCAGGGACCGTTCATGTGGTATTTTGTTGTCCCGATATACATTCTGTGTTGCTTTGAAGGTCTGTGCTTCTGTGGGGAGATACATTTCCCATGTGGATAGTGGTGTCTTTTAGTTACTTTTCCAGGGTCACATCTGGTACCTTGCCCTGATAAAAGAAACAATGAAGGTCGAAAGTGTTGTTTGGTGTTTAACCCTGTGTGGGAGTATGTTGTTTGAGGGATACACTGGAGCTGGCTTGAGGATGTGATTGTAGGGACCCCCAAATGGGGGACACGGAAAACTATTGTTTCCTTGTTTAGGGTCAGCCATGAATTGGAGTCATGGGCTGTATAAACAGGTTTCCTGCGGAGCGGATTTGAAGCCAAGTGTGTTGGCTCTGGTTATCATCATCTCGACAGTGCCTGACTCTTCCTGACTTATGAATATCCAAAAATGAGCAAAGATGTGGAGCAGAAGTGGAGCTGAGGCAAGCCTCGGACTGTCCTGTGATGGTACCCAGCTGTCACTCAAAGCATCCACTTTAATTATTGATACCTCAAAATCTAAAAAAAGAAAAGTGAAAACATGAATGAATCATCTAGAGAAACCTAAACCATGTTTTGTACCAGGCTGTAAATGTGAGCATGTTACCACGATGGTCTACCGCGATGGACTCACTTTTGGAGCCAGCCTCAAGTGGACATTTGATGAAACTGCATCTTTTGGCATTTCCACACTGACTTAAGTCCTCTGCCCCGGAGGTCTCCACATGTTTGTAGCTTTCAGTTCGCATGCTTACTTTTCTCATGGTTAGATTTGATCCCACAACAGCCAATGCCTTAAATAGGATTAGTTAAAAATTAAAGGTGTTAAAAGATTACCAGTATTTCTCAACTCAATGAATTAGTTTTACAGGGTGTTTATTATTCAAATGAGCACTGAAAGTGGTTTATACTCTACTTTATAACTATATTGCTGTATTTAACTATCGTGCCATTATTGCCACTTTTGGTTTTTAGTTTACTTATTTTGTCAACATCCTTAAGCATGACCACCTTTATTTCTGAGCTTTTTTTTTAATCCATAAAGTTGCATTTTTCTCATGATGCATAAACAAATGTGATGCCGTACTGCAGGTGGAGGTCTCAGTTCATCAATTTAGTGAATGAATTGTCACAGTTTTTCCACTGATTAGATAGTAGCTGTTAAACCAGGAATTTTGTGTAACAAGTTCAGTCAGCCCTGGGTTAGTTAGCTACACGTTAGATACAGACAAAGTTGTAAAGCGTAGTAGGACAGTGTATCAGTCAACTAGGCTGACTGGACTCTGCTTCAGCGTGTTTGTATGTCAGGGTCGGGCCACAAGTCGGGCCCTACTGGCCTTTAAGATGATTACACGCAGTAATCCATAATCCACACAGGCAGTATTTTACACTGTCACCGCCCATCCTCACATGACCAACACTATATATATATTAAACACATCTCTGTGCTGCAGTAACAGAGACAAACGTGCTCACAAATGTTGCCGTCAATGTTGGTTTATTTCACATTTGGCCAGAATGCCATTTTCTCATTTTAACCCACTGAGCCTGGATTCAACAGTCAGTTTATGATACATAAGATCATGGATAACAGCAGGGTTTAGGCTGGTGTGTGTGTGTGTGTGTGTGTGTGTGTGTGTGTGTCTGTCTGTCTGTCTGCATCTTTGGTATCTAAGTGGTTTAGGAGTTAATACTTTGTTTGTAGGGCAACACAAATGGATTCCTCTGTTTGTGTCAGTAATTGTGTGCATTCTACTAGAGGACGTTTTTAGGGCGAAGCTATTGTACAAAGATGCACTCATTACTGATAGAGGTAGAGAGGGGTTACATGCAGCGAATTGCTTGAATTAAGTGGCGTTGACCAGACCGTATTGAGCTTTAGGTCTCATGAAATTGTTTTAGTTGGTATTAGTTCTCCGTTAACTGTGGCCGTCCTGCAACCACCATCCCTGTGACCTTGCCTAACCTCTCGTTTGGTCTGGGGGATTATTGCTGCATTTGTAGACCCTGGAGTCAACAGCCTGCACCTCAAAGACATTTAAATTATGTAGAATTTTAGAAAATACGTTTGTTAAATTGCTTTAAAAAATAAATAAATAAATGTAGGCCTAGCTACTTTAATGTAGGATGCTACTTATTTTAGTTTGAGGTACACATGTGAAAAACTAACAGGGTCTAAAGCTCAATTCTTCCACTGCTAGCTAGAGAGATGATCAGTTATCATCATGTTCAAATGAAAAATGAGGATTGCTGATGTGATCATGTGAACTTACTGAAAAGGGCCTGGCTTCATTCTACTATAGAAAAAGTCCATGTTTTAGGAGGTTTTCAGAAATTTGTAAATTAAATATAAAATGTCTACAATATGACCAACAATAAATGTATATAATATGTTTACTTGAGGTTGTTTTTCGGGCTTCAGCTAACACTTATCAGCATTAAATAGCCTGGTAATTATTTCACTGATTGACTGTGTAGTGCAGAAATGTACCATCATTATCTCTGAAAGCCCAGGATGAAATACTCAAACAATTTCTTGGTAGTTGAATATTATACTCTCCCTGAAGACTAAGCTTTAAATATTGGCATTTGAAAGGCATTGACCAGTAATTTTTTTCAGAAATTAAGAAATGATGATCAACTACTGTCAATAACTGTTGTATTATTGACAGTATTTATTGTTGATGTTTAAAAATACAAAGTGTATTTAAATACAATTTCTCTTTTTGTG